ACCCAACCCCCAACCTCCCCCCTCCCTCCGGGCCCTCCCCCGCAGTGCAGGCTTAGGACACGCCCTTGGCGCGGGTACTCCACGCATGGGTACTGCAGACGCGGTCTGACCGCCCGCAGTGGACAGGATGACGGCGCTGAGCCGGGGTCCGGGCTTGCGAATGCCCCACCCTCTCCCGTGCCACGGAGAGTTCGGGGCAGGTGGGTGCGAAGAAGCTGCCCAAGGTCACACGGGACCCGGGAGCTGCCGCGCGGGTGGTGGGGGTCGTCACGTGACCAGGATCAACCTGGCGGGCGATTTTGACGCGGGCTAGCCCCTAACCCCAGCTCCTTCCGGGAGCCAGCAGCTAGCTGCTTCTTTCGTTTTGTTCGGAAGGCTGTGCGTCTTCACAGTGTAAATGGTGGTTAGCTTTCATTAAAGACGCAGCACAAAGATGACGGCTGGTCTTTTTTTTAAAACACCGACAGTAAAAAAATCCCAAGTAACTCATCCGGTTGAATACAGAATAGCTTTTAATAGTCCCAACTCGAGACAGGCCTTCAACCCTTCTGTGCTCCGTGTAGTATCAAAAGATCCATGGGCAAAGTTTAGTAGGAAACCGGTAACTTTGAAAATTACCGAATAAAATGAAAATCCGTGTACTCTTTTTGAAACTTGTATTTTGCTACCCCATTTTCTTGCACGGGCGTCCGGTGTCTGGTCATTCCAGATATTCAAGCATGCTTATTTCCTTACAAAGCACAAACCAAATGAATAATAATAAAAAAAAATGGCCGAACTCACTGGTCTTTTATTTATGCCAGCAAGCGTCGCCCCCCCCCCCCAAGTTGCTTAAGGTGACTTGCAGTGAATGAGTGCGGTATAGATAGGAGGACGTGGATGCTGATAAAGCTAGTGGTGGAGGGAGTGTCTCGGACTGTCGTGTCTGACTGGAACCGAAAGCCGCCTTTAGACCGGTGTGTGTGCCGGGGTCTCTATTCGCATGCAAATACGCTGTTCCCTTCCTGCGTAGCGAGGCCACCCCGGACCTTGCACTTGTATCTCATCTGAACAGCTGTTTGAATTAGACGGAAACCGGGCCATCCCTAGGAGCGCGCAGGCATACTTTGTATCCGAGTGGCGGAAACAAAACAGCCTTTCCAGTTTGGGCCGAAAACAAACGGCCTAACCCGGAGGTGATGAGAAGAAACCTGGCGTCGCTGCGCCCTTGGCCGCGGCTGGGCCCAGTGGTCACCGAGCGGTCAAACTTGGGTCTCCCGGGAGTCCTGGGACGCGGGCCTGCGCTTACGCAACCCTGGCCTTGTGTGCTCATTCATAGAAACACCGTTAATGAGTTTCGCCCCGTGCTCCTCGGCGAGCCCCTTCCGGACGCGCTCGCGGCTCGCCCGGGCGCGGTGCTGCGTTTCTGGTGTGGGACGTCACCAGGCACACCGAGCTCTTCGCTGTCCCCAAGGCTGATCACGCAGGACGCGGCCTTCCCACGAAAAGGTGCTGCGTTTCGCTCACTGTCGCCTTGGTGGCAGCGCCGGCGACGCGCGCCAGCTAGCTCCGGAAGGTCTCTGGGGGCCCGGCGGGTGGAACAGGATCTGAGCGCCCGGGGCACGCCAGGCCGGGGGCGGGGCTCCCGCTAACCTTTCCCCTACTTTTCTCAGCCGTCACGTGACTCGGCGGCGGGGCGGCGGGGCGGGGCGCGGCGCGGCGGGGGCGGGGCCGGGGCGCTTCGGGCGCTTTGGGCGCTGCTGCTGGCAGAGCCTTCGAGGGCGCGTTCCAATGGGGCAATTAGACGCAGCCTGGGCTCCAAAGGCTGTGGGAAGGTGGGAGGCGGGAGCGCGCGCCCGCTCCGGCCCGGAGCCGGTTCTGCACTTTGATCCGGAGCATTATTTTCCCCTTTGTTGGAAAAAATGTTTAGTCATTCTGCACGGTCCTTATGGGCAGGCCGGAGTGCTCTGGCCGGTGGGAGCCGGGACTTGAGTTCCTGGAGAAGCGGGACTTTGAAGAATAAAACTGTTCTTCAAGCTAGTGTGCTTTCAGAAATCATCTCGTGCTGCACCGAGGCCGCTTCTCTCTTTGAGGGGCTTGAGCCGGCTGGGCTTTCCCTTCTGGGACTCTTCTGTTTTAAAGACAAATAAGGCAAGCCCGGCCCGGGTGGCCCAGAAGTCGCCCGTGCGATTTCCGGTCAGGGCACGTGCCCAGGTTGTGGGCCTGATCCCCAGTGGGGGGCATGCAGGAGGCGGCCAGTCGATGTTCTCACTCATCGATTTTTTTATCTCTTTCTCTCCCCCTCTCCCTTCCTTTCTAAAAATCAATAAAGAAAAAAAAAAAAAAGATAAGTAAGCAGGCACTGGGTGGCAGGGGAAGGGTGCAGAATTGGCCTCCTCATTCGGGTTCCCTCTCCTCTCCGGAACATGCCACCACTAACAGCTTCTCATGATTCCGGAGATAGTCTGGGCTGTACAGGGCGAGCTTGGAAACAAACAGAAAACTGTTACTTAACGCAAGTAAGGAACAGTTTCTGCTGTTGATGTGTAATATTGTGTTGCCTTTGTGAACTTCACCTTCTACCCCAAGCAAATGTTTGATGGATGTTGGGTTCGCAGCAGACCCTGGACTGTGGGCAATTTGACCTTTTGGGGTGACTTGGAGCCTCGGTTTTACGGAATGTCCACTATTGCTTTTCTTTTGGGGGGATTATTTTTATGTCCTGGAGTGTTGTTCTTGGAAGCTGATAATGGAAAGAAGAGCTGCCAAGTGAAGCCTGCCCTTCCCTCCCAGTTGTGTGGCAGGGTGATTGCCACCTGGGGGGGGGGGGGGATTGGGAAATAGGGTGGCCCCTGCCCTGCTTCTGAAGGACTATTGGCTAATTGCTGAACACTGAATTCTTTAGGTAATAAGGAAAAACATCTTCCATGCTCTTCATGTGGTGATTCACCCACCCACCCCAGAAACCTGCGGGTCATCCTGGATCCTTCCTGACTCTCTCCTAAGCCCCGCCCGCTACTGCTGCTTCCTAAATGGCTCCTAACCTCGCCTTCCCCCCCATTTCCATGAGCTGGAGCAACGTTCAGATATTTGTTGAACAAACTACAGAATGTTTAAGCAACCTTTCTCTCCTGGATTGCTGTGACCGCCTAATGTGGTGGGGATCCTTTGGGGCACAGGAAGTTGGTGCCAGGGAAACCAGAAGTGGAGGAACCTGTTGGCTCCCTCCTAACCTTGCACCTTTCTTTACCCTGTTCCTGTGATCAAGGGTCTCTGGACTGGAGACCAGCAAACTCATTCATTCCCCACATCAGAGGATTAGTGACCCCTCCTGTTCCCACCAACCCTGGCTTCCTGTGGGGTTCCATGGCTTTTGGTCCCCAGCACACACACGGTGTTCCTGTGTTATGTTGTGTTACGACCCCCGGGGGGTAAGCCCTGTGAGGACAGTTTCTGAAGGTTCAAGTTAGGAGTTAATCCCCTATCTTTAGAATTCTTCACCCCTCATTAACAAAGTAATACGTGTTTGTGTTCAAAGCAAACACAAAATTACCTTGCTTTTAAGAAACTGTCATGTGCTCTAATTCATACTTTGCTTTTTATGAAAGAATTCCTCTAAAATTGCCCATTTCACACCAATTCCCTCGGTGTCAGCTCCCCTACTGCCCTTAAAAAGATTTAATGCCTGTAGTTTGGGTTTCTTTCTACTTGTCCAACCATACTTGTGTAATGTGAGGCACAATAGGTATGCTGAAAATAAATCAGCGGTTTAAATGTCCAGGACGATGGGCCGAGGGCTTGGGCCCTGGTCTGTGGGCATTGGAAGGGGAAGAACGCAGATCCACATGGAAGTCCACACTCTTGGACTTCCCACTGCAGTTGGGAGGGAACAAAGACTGTTTCTGCATGAAAGACCTAATGTAGGCGTAGGTCTGGCACTTGCTCTCCTTCTGGTCGTGTGAGGTTGTGGGTATTACGCATGCAGATGGCCCCGACAGTTTGACTTACTATTGGATTTTGTGTTCTGAGCATGTTGGAAGTGGGCTGGGCTGAGCTCTGATGTTCTGTAGATTTGGTGTATTAAGTGCATTTTCTACTGATGGTGTTTTCAACACATGATGGGTTTGTCGGGATGCTACCTCATCATTAAGTCCAGGAGCATCTGTACTTTATATACCAGGAAATAGATCTTATGAAAGGCAATGGCATTCTCTCAAGGGGACACGCCCGTGAGCGCGCGCACATGCACACTCACACACACACACACACACACACACACACACACACACACACTAAGTGGCTGAGCTGGAATTTGGACTCAGATCTTGGTTCTCCAAAGCCTGTCTCCTTTCCTTTTTCCGATGCTTCCCAGACCAGTGTGCAGACATCACTCACCCCCGTGCCCACTGGCCCTGAGGCTGAATCAGCCCTGCGTGCTTCTGGGTTCCCATTTCCTCTCTGGGAAGTGGTGCCCTGACCCCCGTCCTTCTGTCATTCAGGGGTTTTATGAGGATCCACTAAGAGGCCAGAGGTGAGAACAGTTTTCAGGGTGTGGAATGAACACAGCGTGGAGGCTGCAGGCGGGTGTGATGGTGTGTTCTGCATTGTCCATGTCAGGACATGGGGGTGACGAGTTTGGTTGTACTTCTGGGTGCAAAGGTGAAGAATGCGTGAGAAAAACGGGGCGCCATCCGTGGGTTTAGAAACACCTGTGACAACAGCATCCAGGTACGAGGAGAGATGTGGGGATCTCCGGGCAGGTGCACGCCTCTCCCCAAGGTCACGCTGCCAGGGTTGCGCCCACGTGCGCAGGCAGGCCCGTGTGTCCCTGCAGAGGAGAGCACCTGAGGAGGTAGCGAGGTACTGGGGCTGCCAAGACATCGTGTTTTCGTTACAGAAATGTGACCCTCAATGACCTTAGCTCAGTTCTTGTGAAGGTCTATTTCTCTATTTCTCTCAGTGCCTAGTACTTGTTGATGTGGGGTAATATAGGCTTAACTTTGAATTTGCTTTATTTTTACAGGATCTCGGTAGGCAGAAGCCGAGTTGCTTTCCGAGAGCCGTAGACGAGTGTGATTCAGAATTCCCTTTATAACCTGGCTTGACTCAGCACATTCACCCCGTGAGTTCTATGGTTTAACTCTAAGATATGTCAGTACAAGAACTTCGCCGGGTGGCCAGTTGAAATAAAGCAACTCTTGAAGGCTCGGTCAGGAATTCGAGATACAGCCTTTGATAAGGGAGAGCTCCGTCTCCGCCATGAAGCCCTCCCAGGAGCACAGAGCGAGCCTCGAGCCTGTGTGGCTCCTGAGGTGCCCCCGCCAGGCTGGGGAATCCCAGTTTGTAGTTGCTTGCGTTCACACGTTCTGAGAAAACCCCACAGCCCGGCCTGACATCGCACGTGGGTGACGGCGTGGCCCGCGGGGCGCGGAGGATCCGTGCTCCCACGCGAGTGGAGAGAAGCTGTCTCTTTTCTCCCTCTCCCGCGCGTCCTGCCCCACCTGGTTTCCCGCCCTGCTCGGCAGCGTAGAGGCCGGAATAGGAAAACTAGGGAGCAAGAAGGGGCCCGACCAGTCCCCAGTCTTGCTGCTCCTGGAGGTCTGAGGGAAACTCGCGGGCTGGGGACGCCCCTCCTGGACGGTCCTGGTTCTCTCCCTGCAGTGCTTTGTGCCGAGGCCAGCCTGGCAGGGCAGCCGGCCGCCTGTCCGTGCACTGGATGGTGCTCCAGCTACCTGAGCCACCCGCCAGCGCCGGGATTCCACAGCGGCAGGGCCCGCTCCCGTGTGGCGGGGGTTGTGCAATTCTAGCGGGAGGACGAGCATGCGAGTAATTTTAGAGCTGGCATCGTCCTGCTTGTACTTACTGTAGTTTTATTGCCGCCTGCAATCACTCACTTTGGTTCCAACAGGGTGACCTCATTTTATATCTGTGTTGTAACTTTAGGGGATTTTTTTTTTTTCTTTTTATGGTGTACTTACCACTTCACTTGGTAGGTAAGAACGTGAGTTTGGAAGTGGACCTGAGTCTGATCCCCTGCTCGGCTGTGGGCCAGCTGTGACTGATCTCGGGCAGCTTTCTTGACCGCCAAGTCGGTCTCCTTGTTAGGCGCTGGCGAGAACAGTAGTCGCCACTTCCCAGGGTTCTAGCGGGAACTAACTGGGCCAGTGCAGCCCTGGCCGGTTTGGCTCAGCGGTTAGAGCATCGGCCTGTGGACCGAACAGTCACGGGTTTGATTCTGGTCAAGGACATGTACTTTGGTTGCAGTTCATCCTGGCCCTGGTCAGGGTCGTGTGGGAGGCAACCAGTTGATGTCTCTCTCTCTCTCTCTCATTCTTTCTCTCTCTCGCTCTTCCTCCCTCTCTCTTTCCCCGACGCTATCTGAAGATAAATGGAAAAATATCCTCAGGTGAGGATTTAAATAAATAAATAGATTAAACGGGCCAGTGCAGGTGACAAGTGATCCCATTGTCTGGCATATGCCAAAGAGTTTGGTAGAAAGAATATTTTGTGCTTTTGTTGTTAAAATCTGTAGATCTTATCTATCGGCCCACCCACATACATGTACCTGCTTACCTCCCCACCTGGCCCTTCCCTGTCTGCCTGTGTGTTGATTTTCAAGGCTACGTTGAAACACGGCTGGCCACACACAGTCCAGTTCCGTGTTGCGGTCCCATAAAGAATGTATTCTTGGAAGCCTGCTGTCGTCACAGGACCAGCTCCATTCTTTGCCTCATGTTACAGAGCGATTTCCACATGTCCCCCTGGGCGGGCTTGGAAGTCTGGCACCACTTTGCACTGTGGTGACTTTTTCTGTCCTTTCCTTAGTGGCACGGGTCCAGGCCCTGGGGTGGGATGGACGGCACCCCGGAGGGCAGCCGCACGCCGTCTGCCTGCCCGAGGGCCCGGCCTTCTCCTGGAGGGAGACAGTCCCAGCTTTTGGATGGCCTCTTGATTTCGGCCGGGGCTGGTGCCGGGATCTGCAGGCCGCTGACCTCTGAGGTGGAAGGTTTTAGGTGAGAAGGAAATGATTGTGGACAACAGGACGAAGGGGACGTATTGCAGAGTACAGACCCGTTGCCTGGCCAAGGGTTTTGGGGGGAGGCATTGGGCAAAGTGTTTAAATAGAAGGCAGTCTTACCCAAACTGAATGAGATGTGATGCACACCCCCCACCATGGTTTGTTTGACGGTCAGTGTGGGGGAACTGTCTGCAGGCTCCACGGTTTGACAGAGAATTAAACAAGGATGTGTGCATGTGTTGTGTGCGCACGCATGCCCTGGGGCAGCTTTTCATTGATGTTTGGGAAAGCAGACAAATAATGTACAAGTGACAATCATTTGCCTGCAGGGCAGGTCACACTGCTGTCTGTGTTTTGAAAATGTGGATTCTGTCAACGCGAGAAACAGCCAAGCCCTTGGAGAAGTTTTATGTGTTGATTTGAGCCAGCCAGCTCTCGAAGGCGCCAGTTTCCTGTGTGCGTTTGAGATTAAGGGGGGGACAGGGAAGAGGCGGGAGGTGGGGGGAGCCAAGGCGGGGATCGGATTACAGGATTGGTGCCTGGCTGGGGACCTGCTGGTTACTCCTGGCTGCTCAACAGGAGGGCTGTGTTAACCTAGATGCACAGAACAGTGCACAGGCCTTGCTTTAGGCAAAGATAAACTGAAAAATTATAGGCCTGGGGCATGGCCACCTGTGGGACCTGCCCAGGTAGGAATGTGTGATCAGGTCCCCCTGTGAGGTTACTTTCCCTGGAATACCTTTGTCCATCCACAATTCAGAGGCTGATCAGAGCAGGCCCTGCAAAGGGGGAGCTTCAGGCTGGGTGTGAAGCAAGAAGGTAGAGCAGGATAGAGAACCGAGGCCTTTAGTCACCTGACTGGGAGATGAGTTGGGAAGGTGTAGGGAACAACCACGAGCGCACAGAGGTGTGGACTTTTTAAAAAAAATTGAGTTTGAGAGAGAGAGAAACATCGATATGTTGCTCCACTTATTTGTGCATTCATTGGTTGATTCTTGTATGCGCCTTGACTGGGGATCGAACCCACAACCTTGGTGTAACAGGCCGATGCTGTAACCAACTGAGCTACCTGGCTGGGGCAGGGATGTGGATTTTTTAAAAATATTTTTTCTTTATTGATTTTAGAGAGAGAGGGAGAGAGAGAGAAACATTGATGAGAGAGAACATCGATTGGCCGCCTCCTGCATGCCCCCCTACTGGGGATCAGGCCCACAACCTGGGCATGTGCCCTGACTGGGTATCGAACTGGTGACCTCTTGGTGCACGGGACGATGCTCAACCACTGAGCCACACCGGCTGGGCAGAAATATTATTATTACTTTATTAATCCTCACCCGAAGATATTTACCCATTTGTCTTCGCATAGAGTGGGAGGGAGGGAGAGAGAGAAACATCAGTGTGAGAGAGACACATCGGTTGGTTGCCTCCCACACGCACCACAACCGAGGTCTGTACCCTTGATCGGAATGAGACTCTTTGGTCCTCGGGACGACGGGACATGGTGAATGTGTCCTTGTTCTCCCCTACAGACTGTTACTCCGGGTCTTGGTGTTTCCTGAGAGCGAGTGAGCGAGTGAGCGAGCAGCGCTCAGTGCCCTGTGCCGACCTCAGGGGCTCTCTCCCCAGTGGCCCTCGAGTGGTCTCCTGGTCCCCGTGGGCTGCCGCGGCCTCCGCCCCAGGAGGGCTCCAGGCAGGGAGGTCTGTGCCAGCAGGACCGTGAAGGAGCACAGCCTGCAGCCCAGCAGGGTCTCTCCATAGAGAACAGTCCCCAAGGCCTCCCGTCACCCAGCCAGACCTGTGTCCCCTGAAGGTGCGTCCGCGGTCATCCTGTTCCCTCCAGGAGTGACTCATGCTGACGTGCAAGGACAATGACTGACCTGGGAGAGGTTAAGCTCTCTTTTCATGTCTTTTTTTTTTTTTTTATGGTACATGCCCCTAGCAGGAACCGAACCCGGGACTCTCTGGTCCGCAGGCCGCCGCTCCACCGCTGAGCCGAACCGGCCGGGGCTCTTCTCCTGTCCTCTCTGTGACTTCCTCTCCCCTCGTCAGCTCTTCTTGCCAGTGCACGTGTCCTCCCTGGAGGCCAACTCGGGCGCAGGTGCAGGTCTAGCAGGTGGGTCCCGGCGGTCATGCCAGTAGCCCTGCCCCCAGGGAAGCCACCACCTCTCCGCCCAGGGGGGATGGCGGTGTGGGGTGCGTCCCTCTCCAAAGCAGCAGGTGTGGCGAGGAGCGTGGATGCCCGGCTCCGCGGGCAGGGGCGTGTTTCATGGGAAATGGTGGGGAGGGCGAGGGCGGGGTGGGAGGAGGGCAGGCTTCAGTCTCAGCTCGCGGGTTTCGGCGTCCTTGGAGACGAGCTGGAGATTCGAGCCTCCTGCGCAGGTGAGAACTGAAGCCCCAGGCAGGGCTGCGGGGACGGGCGGAAGCAGACCGGTGACCCCGGCTCGGAAGACCGGGCGGGGGCCACAGCAGGCACGCCTCCGGAGGAAGCGGACGGCACCCAGAGACTGCTGATGCCTGTCTGTGAGACGTGGCCGCGCCCCCACAGCCGCTGGAGGCGGGGTGGGCTGCTGCCCTGGCCCCTGGGCCTTGCTGTGCCCTTTGCTGCCCTCCTGGAGGCTGGAGGGACACAGAGGAGGGGCTGCCCAGGGTACGTGACCTGGATCCACAGAGGCCTGGCCTGCCAGCTGGCCCCGGGGCCCTTCCTGTCACAGTGGTGGGGGGTTCCCAGCCACCCTGACAGCCACGCCTGGGCGGGTGTCCCGGAGAGGAGAGTTGAAGACAGCGCCGTCTCTCGGGTCAAGGTGGCCAAGCACTGGTAGCTGTTCACTCGGGGCCGTCAGTGTTCCGATATTCCTCCATTTGCACTGTCGTGACTTAAAACAGAGACGGGGTTGGGGGCAGTGCTGCGGTGTAATGAGGTCACTGGGGCTTCTGCTCCGAGAGTTTGTTAACCGCGCCTGCCACCTGGATCTTCACAAGGCAGGAGGCTTAGCCAGCTGTGGGGAGGCGCTCCCAGGGGGCCCTGCGTCTGCCCCTGCCCCAGCCAGGTGGCCCTGCGTCTGCCCCTGCCCCAGCCAGGCGGCCCTGCGTCTGCCCCAGCCAGG